CATCTCGAAGCACCAATACACCCAGCGAAGGAGACTCATCAATCTTACCCGGCGGATCAGCTCTACAGCAGATTTCCGGTAAGAACATTTGGCACCCACCGTGGGGCCGATCAGACCAAGCTCTCATCGGCCACCTGCATGGTTTCTACCAGAAGCCATATTAGACGAGCAACAGATTACACGAGCAACTCAACTACCATGGACAGCGATACCGCGACCCTGAGGCGTTTGGTCGAACAAGTCGAGCAGATGCGGCGACAGCACGACGTCGACCTCCAGAATATGCGTGCCCAGCACGAGAATGACCTCGCGGCGATGCGCATCCGCGCCCAGCTCACTCGGCATCGCCACGGCCAGCCACCGCACGACAGCGGTGATCATGAGGAGGAGGCGCATTCAGCCCCCCATTTTCAAGCAACCACGAGGGCACCACATTCGCAGCCCGCCACGCACCGGTCTCACGCATCAACACACAGATCAGGGCAGGGCACCAGCAAGGCCCCCACTCACTTCTCCGAGGGCCAAGAGCCTTTCCGCCGTCATCCCTTTGTGAACGGAATCATGGAGACTTCGTTACCCCGCGGGTGGAAGCCCCTCCACCTCGACCGCTACGACGGCACTACGGACCCCGATGAGCACGTCGACGCGTACACGACTCAGGTAAACCTTTACACTAACAGTGACGCTATACTGTGCAGGGTCTTCCCGACCTCGCTTAAAGGACCCGCGCTCCATTGGTACACCCAACTGCCGGCAGGGTCCATTGACAGTTTCGCCACCTTGGTGCGGCGGTTCACGGCACAGTACGCCACCAGCCGACCTCACCACACAACCTCGGCCGCCTTGGCCAACCTCAGACAGAATGACGACGAGCCCCTACGGGCCTTCATGGAGCGCTTCTCTAACATATCAGTCCGGATCCGAAATCTAAACCCGGAAGTCGCCCTACACGCCATGCTCATGGCACTGAAACCCGGATCGTTCGTCGACAGCCTATGTCGCGACGCCCCTCGCGATATGGACGAACTGCGCGCCCGCGCCGCCGGTTACATTCAAATGGAGGAGCACGCGGCCTTCCGCGACCAGGTTCGCGGTAAGGGCCCCGCAAAACCAGAACAGGGCCACAAAGACAAGGTTAAAGTCAACAACGACAGCCAATTCAAGAAGACAGCCAGGACAAACAGAGCCGGGAGGTACGACTTCTACACCCCTCTGAACGCCCCAAGAGTCCACATTTTGGAGGAAGCCAGTAACAGCAACCTGCTAGACCTCCCCCCACCCGGCCACACACCAAACAGTGCTGACAAGTCCAAACATTGTCGGTATCACAGAAACTATGGCCATATCACAGACGAGTGCCGCACACTCCGGGACCGCATCGAGGAACTCATCCAGGCAGGACACCTCGCCCACTACATTCAGCGACAGCCAGGCTCCCGAGGTGGCTCCGGAGGCCGGGGATGCGGGAGAGGTCGCGGATCAGGAACTCGGGGGGACCTACCTACAAGACCTCAGCAAAACGCCAATGGCGCAGTACAGGCTGAAATAAGCCAGGAAACCGACGCGACACGTGTCAGTTGAAAGGCACACCCAACGACACACTTATTACCAAACCATCATTGTAAAACCGTCACTGCCCCCAATACGTCAATCAAACGTCTCCAGAGCATAAACAGTCGCGACACGTTGCGAACCTCCAGCTAGCGTACGCGCAAAGCCACCTCTCCTCTCACGAGCCCGACCTTAACTCCTCGGCCTACGGCCTTCGGAGCTCGGGGGGCTAGTGTACTGACCGCATTTCGCACCCGGGCTCTCAGCCCGGGTTGACATTATAAGGGTCATCCCGGACACGCGTTGAACAACGTCAGCCCGGAATCCGGACAGACCACGCCCGAGCCTGGAGATCTCATCCCAGGCCAAAACCGTTCTCCCGTTATGCCATATTATGTCACAACGTGATCATATCATATGATAGGATATCGTATCATATCATATCTTATCTCAGGCCCAAGACAACCCTAATTGACACAAAGGTATGTGCATTACATATATACGAGACTCATACTCATACAAACCCTAACTTTAGCATCGGAATCTCTTTTGCAGGTACCTCCCCCATCTCGAAGCACCAATACACCCAGCGAAGGAGGCTCATCAATCTTACCCGGCGGATCAGCTCTACAGCAGATTTCCGGTAAGAACAAGTAACAATAAATATATATCATTTGATATATTAACAAAAATTATAATATACGTTAACTTGAATAGACAAATAATTGTATAATTTTAAAATAATATATATATATATATATATATTAAAATTATTAAATTTTAATAAAAGAGACTAAAATCGCACAATTATGATATTTGAAAGATTAAAATTATTCAATTAAAAATTAAAAGACTAAAATCACACAATTGTAATCTTTTAGAAACTAAAATTACCCAACTAAAACTTTACGATTAAAATTGCACAATTAGGGATAAAAATGCAATTAAGCCTAATTTAATTAAACCAACGGAGTTACATGGATAAAGTTAGTTTAAATTATATTGAAAGTGCATATTTTTTACCAAAGCATATGATATCTTTTACTGATAAAAAACTACAAAAGGTTTAGTTGCTTTATTTTATCAATTTTTTTTGTTTAAATTATATATGTCCAGTGTAAATAAAAAAATATTATAGTTGCCTACATAAGTTGAAATGACATTTTTTATCCCCAAAGTAAAAAGTTCCAAGAAAAAAAGCCCTGCTATTATCATATTTTAACTAATACACTGAAAAATAATTGATACAGGGTCACACATAAAAACTTATGGAAGCAAAGATATATAAGTCACATAGATTCTTATATATTGTAATCCAAGGTTTTTTTTTTTTCGATAAGTATAAAAACAAGAGAAAGAAAATTAGTAATATTTAGGCAATACCTTGTCACAGGAACTAGGCCTTTAAATTAGTAACTCGAACACTTTTATTAACTATTGGGCTAACATTTTGGGTCGAAAAGAAAACTAAAATAATGGAAACCAAACCAGCGGTGTGTAAAATATGTGTTTCTCATTAGAATGATAAAAGGAGAATGTTATTTATGATCTATTTTTTTCTTTTTCCTTTTTTTTAAATATCCTTTTATATATGTGTTTAATACATTAAAGAAATTATAACTATATTATGAAAATTTATTTTCGTAAAATCTATAAAATTTAGGGATGACAAATGGATGAATCAAATATATATTTAGATTGATTATAATGGATAAAAAATAGAATGAATTAGATAGATTTACTCGTAGATGGATTGGATGAGTGATAAATAAATGGATTAATTTGTCATCCCAAGTGAATATAGGAGAGTGTAAAAAAAAAGAGGAAAGACAAGCATTTGAAAAATATAAAGAAATAAAAATGAGAAAAAAGAATATGAAGAAAGAGGTGAATGAAACCAAGCAGAAAGTGTTTATTAGTTTTTAGAAGTGTCAAAGTGGTGAATGAAACCAATAAAGAAAGAAAAAAAATTAAAATATGAAAATTTTCTATATTATGATGGATTCTTCTAAAGTGACTAAGTCTGTTTTTAGATAAAAGTTAAGTTCAACCCACTTTAATTTCAGAACAAGATTATTTCAAAACAATAATCTTATTGTTTATACATTTTATGCATTGAAAAGTAAAAACATATATTTCAGGGTTTTTAAGTAGATAACCAAACACATTTAGAAAGACACATTTTAGAGGAGAATTATATTTACAATCTCGAGTTGAGAAAGTTTCTGCCATAAAATATGAACAAAAAAAGTATATTTGAGATGGATAAGAGGACCACAATTTCCGTCCCAAGATGTTACAATTTAATGCGTTAATTTATATTTTTATAATTTATTTATACACAGTAAACTTATTAATGAATATCCTCATTTTTTTATTTTTCGAAATTCATTACGATTCCGGAGTTTTACAGGGACTTCCGAAAATTAAGAACCCTGGACCTGACAGAAATAATTAAGAGGTAAAGATAAAAATAAAGATGCTCACGGGCACGGCTGCGTTTTTTTCTTTTATCCCTAATTTTAAAATTTACACATATTACTCTATAAACTAAAGTGTTGCACTACTCTTTTCTATCATTTAACCAGAAAAGTCTCCATTATTTTGATGGAAATACTAACGGCAAAACTTATGGTATGTTTAGATAATTTTTTTTTTATAGATTTTTAGAATTTAAATTACTTTAATTTTAATTTTTGTTATTTTTTAAACATTTTATTTAGATGAATCAATTCACATTTTTAAAATTTAAAATTTAAAATTTGGATATAATAATTTAATTTTATCATAAATAAAATTAATTTTAAACAAATATATATTAAAATTTTAAGATTTAATTTTATAAAACTACATATTAAACAATTTTTAAATATTTAATAACTTTCTAAAAAAATAATATTAGATAATAATTAGTAATTTAAAAAATAATTTTAAATATTTAATAATTAAAAACATCAATATTTTTATGTTGGCCTTGATATTTTTAAGAGATAAAAGAAAAAGAAAATTAAAGCATTTAAACTTACAATTTTCAAAAATTTCAAAATATATAAATATTAATTTTTTAAAATTTTTTATCCAAACAAAACATTTTACATCAAAATATGTATAAAAAAAATTAAAAAAGTTAAATTACTATATTAAAATTTGTCATCTAAACACTATTAATGTGTGTATATACTCGCCCTTTTTTTTTTTTTTTTCACTCGCTGTTATGTACGATTAACTTTTTGTTATTATATTTTACTATGATCTACAGCTGCTTTATTTTCAAGTTAGGCTAGAAGTTGACAGAAGATGATTTAATTTAGATATAATAGTATAGTATAGATTACGTGAGAAGATGTCGGTATGGTCCTCATCCTTGAATTATTGATTCTGACTTCGATGTGATGCATTGATTTTTTTCTAATATTAAATTATTCCAAGCGGCTTAGAAAATTAGAACAGATCCACAACAGAATGGTCATTCTTTACAAAAAGAAAGTTTGAACACTTTTTCTAAATGTCATCATAAAACAAATCATGTCCAAATAATGCTTACAATTTAATATATATACTGAAATTAAATATGCTCTATAATTTAGATATAAGACAGAAATTAGAACCTGTATATGGACTTTCTGTCCGAGCTGGACAGGAAATGCGAATCAAACATAGGACCATAGCAACTAAGGAAAACTTTTTGTAAATATGCGAAACTGAGTGCCATGAGTTAACAGCAGCGAATATATAACGAACCAACCATCTTGATGCAGAGCGACTTTCTCCAATTATTGTTTCAAGTCAGAATTTGAGTTGGCATTACCATTCTGATGCTGTTGCTGCTGTTGCTGTTGAAGATGATGAATGTTTTGTTGGGATGACGCAGAAGGCTGCTGCTGCTGGAACATCAGAGGGTTGACAGAATGTTGAGGGATCAAACAGCTAGAACCATGCGAGTCCCCACTCAGCTCAGCAGTAGCAAGCTTTAGTCTTTGAACCTCAGCAGTAAGCGCCTCATTTAGAGCTATTACAAGAAAATACAGGGGCATAGAATTGATCAGAAGGAAGCAATCGATGAAGTCATACATATTAGTCTCCAATTGTTGTTACAGGGGTACAAATGACAACTACAAATATCCGTATGAAAATGTAGAAGACATGCACGAATGTCTTTTATCTTTTATTAATATCTCAATAGAAAAGGAGCAGGCATACCAAAAAGGTATTAAATAAATAAGAAATAAAAAACATGAGTCATGCGCACACGGTGGTCACTATTCAATTACGACATCAACTTACCCAAGAGGTCACTATTCAATGAACAGATGAACTTAACCAAAGAGGGCTTGATCACTTTCACAAAGTGTCATTCTTATATAAACTTATCCAAAGAAGGCTGCAAGTGCAAATAAGGGTACAAAAGACAGGTGTAAAGAAAAGGTAGTTCACTTGGTTAATAAACCCACACCACTTTCCAATGGAAAGATTCACAATATTTCTCGACTCTCCCCGAGAAATTTGGAAACGAATACCTGAATAGGTCACTTAAACATCAGCGATGGATCGGGTCACCCTCGCTGCAACTCTTATCTCTGGAGTTCCTACATGCCATTTCTACGATTCCATTCACTTTGAAAGCTCTTCAACCGAATATGTTGACGAGATAAACTTCAATATACGAAGTCCACCGTATGAATACAAAGCGTTTTGGATTTAGTTGGCCTACTATTAGCTAAATGTTTTGATGAAGCATTACAGTGATGACAGCATTATTAGCATCAAATTGCTGCCATATAAAGTTTCACTAAATTGAGCAAAAAATTGATCAATGGGTCTGTCATAAAATAATAACAATCCCAAAAAGTTAGTTGGTGAAGGCTCATGAATGATTTTTATATATGAAACACCCCTTTGGGTTTGAAATATATATAATTAACAGTTGGCTTTAACTTATGCTAAAATTCAACTTTTTAGAATAATATCAAGAACCAACTCTCCTAAGAGTTTAAACAGTTGGGTTAAACCTCATGATAGATTTTTTATATTTGAAAGGTTCCTAATATATATTGTATAAATATTATTCTCAACAGGATCAGTGATCGGCAGTAGAAATAACATTGACATTATAAGATCGTGTAAAAGGCTCTGGTCCACATACCTAAAATGTAATGAAACAGTATAAAATTGATGTAAACTAAAATCCCAGATTTGAATGAAAATAAAATCTAAACCAACAACTTGAAGGAACATTTTTTATATAATGCTATTTTCCACTGTAAAATGTTGTCAGTTGTCTATACTTGTAAAATGTAAACAAGGCAAATTGATAGTTAATTGCATACAGTTTCCACTTTACAAGCCAACTGCTGAATTGTTCACCTTACTCTTAAACTCTTCGCAGGATGTATTCACTATACATTTTGACATGAAATATAATCCATGCATCCACTAGTTCAAGCAAGGCAATAAGTGAACAATTAACTATCGATGGCCAGCAGTTTTCACTTTTTACCGGCAAACCAAGAAAATAAAACGGAGAGAAAAGACGAAAGACTACAAATTAAAGGACAGAAATACCATCTCGGAGCTTTGCTTGTTGTTCCATGGATTGAAGCCGAAACTTCAACTCACTATTCTGGTTAGTGAGTCCAGCAGAATCTCTCTGCATTAGCATAATTGACGGGAATTAAATAAAATTAGCAAACAATGTCATGATCACAGCACTAAATTACCAACACCACAAACAGCTGCCCACCTGTAACAGAGTAAGCTGTGCAGATAGGGTGGTGGCTTCTGTCTGTAGAGTCTGAACCTTGTGTTCTAGTTCCGAAATGTACCGCATCTTCCGCTCCTTGGATCTCGCAGCCGATTGCCGATTGGCCAAAATCCTGAAATGACCCCAAAACCAAGTCAATCAGTTAACAGGCAACATCAACCATATATCTAAGTATTTCTCCTAGTTAAAATAAGATATGTAATGGTACAACATCAACACCTTTTCGCACGCTTTGGATCTGACAAAGCAATCTCAGCAAGTTTCTCATTGGCCATGATTTTCTTCAATTCAGGCCCACTAAACTCCCCATTTCCAAACTCCAAGCTGAAAGCGGCTGAATTCCCATCAATTCCATTGCCAGGCGAAACCAAACCGGTTCTCTGCCCCGGCGAAGGAGGCAGCTTGGGCGACTCATCACCGAAGTTCAACTTCCCAATGAAACTATCCATTGAAACACTCCTGTAGTGCCTGGTGGTGGGAGCAATCTCACCCCCAGCACTCCTCTTCATCCCCTCCCTCTTCTCACTCACTCCATGCCTCCCACCATCCCCACTCTCGTTAACACTACTCTCCGCTTCGTTATCACTACTGTCACCACCATTCGTCTTGGTCCCACTCGCCCTACTATCCAAATCATCGCGATTCTCGGCCCCGTTCTTATCATCAGTCCCGGAAGAGTTCAAGGCATCAAAGCTATCCAAATTCATGTAAGCAGAGAAAAGATCATCCACCACTTCCCCTTCAGGGGATTTCTTCTCCCCGGATCCCTCCACATTACTATGCTCAACACCACGGTCCCACGGCGTTTCCCGTTTCACCAACTGCGCGGGCTTCGCCGAGCCGGGGTTTCCCCGGAGAGGAATCAGCGGCGGCGAGGATTGCAAAACGGTGGAAAATCCAAAGGGGATATCACTGTTGGAACGCCTATGCGCTTTTCGAGGGGGCAAGGGCAAATTGTTGGTGGTGGTGGTGTTGAGTGTTCTGGAGAAAGGTGAGGGTGGCAACAGGGAATGCGAACTGACGTCCCGATCCTCCATTGACACGTCAGCAGCTTCGGACACGGAAGTGGAGGAGGAGTCGCGGAAGGGGGAGGGGCTGAGCGGGGGGAGGGAATCCAGGGAGAAAAAGGAGGGCTGCGAGAGTGATCGCGTGTGCGTGGGTGTAGGGGAAATGCTGTGCGACCCCCCCATTTGCTGACGCGACACCGGGATCTGAGAGTAGGGCGAAATGGGCGGGATCTGGTGCGGGTGCGGGTGCGAGGGTGGTATACCCGCGCGCTTGTTGCTACTGTTACCACCTTCTCCACCGCCCACACTCTGCTGATGAAACGGATGGCTCTGATTGTGCTGATGCCTCGCTCGCATTTGCGACGGGTTGAACTGCGGTATGCTGAGCTGCTCCATGTTCAGCGGCTGCTTCAGAAAGTGAAGCCTCTGCATCATGTCATTCGCCGCTTCTTCATTCTCCCCCATTCTGCTTCTCAACTTTCCACAATCTGCAACCGCAAACAATAACAATACTATCAACAATCCCAATTAACGCGACGGAGCTGTGAATTAGTAATAGTAATCGATTATGGTGAATCACCTTGGCAGTGTTCATCCACAAATACAATAGGGAATGGTGAAGGCGCGAATTGAATTCATTAATAGCAGCGTCGGTCTTGGAAGTGTTAGCTTTGTCTGACGGAAATGCCGAAGGAGCAGGCGCTTATCTCTCCAAGATTCACTCTCTCTCTCTCTAGAACAAGAGCAACAACCAAGAAGAAAAAGAGTTTCTCTCTTACTCTCTTTCTCTCTCTACATCCACGACGATGACTACTACACGGATTTCATGACCACTACGCGTGAATTTAATTTAATAACAATTTCATTTCGTCCGAATTTGCATTTCGTTCGCATTTCAATTTCATTCCGACCTCATTTGTTTTCTCATACGCCAGGTTTTTCTTCCCCGTGTCTCCGCACCATATTCAGCCACTCCACCCAATCCGCAATGTCTTCTTTTTTTTTTTCACTCTCCAAGTTATTATCTATCTACAGTTCCAGAGTAATCATCTATTTGAAGGCTTAAAAGAACATTTGAATTTTAATAAAAGCCTTTTTAGTTCACTAATTAAATTAGGATTAATTTATTCAATGATCCAATTATCTATTAATGTAATAAGATTCTAGTCTTGAATTTTTTTTCTCTCTCTCTAACATAGTAGTCGCATAATTTTAATTTTTCAATTTTTAATTGAAAAATTTTATTCTTTTAAATTGTTTAATTTTGATTCCACAATTTTTTATTAAACAATTGTAATTCTTAAATTTTTGAATTGTATGATTTAAGTCTTTCAAGTATGATAATTATACTATCTTTTTATCATTTAAGTTACATATATTAATAATAATAAATATATATCATTTAATATATAAATAAAAATTATATTATATATAATTTAAATAGATCAAAAAATAATATAA